CCCTAAATACTGGTTTCACATGTTATGTAACATTCATTTTAGAAATTTCGTAGATTCTTTACTTTGTTGTGGAGCTTTCTGAAGAAGCTTAAGGGACTGCATTACTCTAATTATGTCATTTTGCTCAAGAAATTTCTTCCTGTTTCTTTCCTGTAATGGAAAAAGGATATTTGGAATGTAGGTTTTTTTCAAGTGGTAGGCTGCACGCTATCTAATTTTACTACTGTATCCTAGGTCTTGGCTGCGTGAAAGTCAATAAAGGTACTCTTAAAGGGAGTCCAACTTGCAGGAGAATCATCTATCTGATGTTTTAAGGGAATCTGGTATATAATTCCTTTATATATGTCGAACGAAATCGAAGTAAAGCAGGATCGGATAAGGCAATTTGGTTTATGATGTTAGCACAAATTTGGATTCTGTGTGTACATATTGAGCAAGTAGAATAATAATCTAGGGAAGCGTCATCAATCCCTGGATATTCGGACGTTTCATTCCTTGTTTCGTATTCCCTGATCCGAAATTTTCTCACGCTCTACTTAATATTCCATGCTCATATTCTCTTCTCTCTAGTAACTATGTTGCCATGTACTGAATAGTATTGTGTAGTGTCCCACTTTCATTCCATCATGGTAGTGCTACGGAGTTAGAAACATTTGACAATTCATGCCATGTTTTTTAAGATTCAAGGGTAATTAAAAGTTACAGGAATCACTCGTATACGGAGATGACAATGTTAATTTATTTTGGCAAAAAAATAAAATAAAATTATTTGTTTAATGTTTTGCATCTAATAATATTTTGAATATAGGGTGGTAGTGGTATAGATTCTTTTTGGAGAGGGATTAACTTATGCAGTATAAGCCTAAATAGTTTTAGACTTATTATTAGTGGTTGAATTTTTTTATATTTAACGGATATAATTTATTGAAATTAGTTATTTATATTTACAACAATTAGATAACGACTAACAACGGGTATGGGATGTTTTTTGTATTAGATGCATGTGGCATCATTATTAGTAATGAATATAAGAATTTTTAGACCTACTGCCTACTGGTATAATTTGATTCTTTTCATTCCTCATGCATATAGGACAATTACCATAACATTCAAATAAAAACAAATGTATATAATTGTACTATAATTGATTAAATTTAAACCACAATTCGAACGGGAATTCGTTTTCTAGTATATCTGCTATTATCGCAAAATGTAAGAAATTTTTCTTTTTTTTTCTTTTAAACTGACTCTAACTATCTTTTTGAGTAGAGTCGGCTCCCAGATATTTTAATAAGCTTTAACTACTTGAGCCAACTATTTAGTCATAGTTAAAGTTTCTCGTATCAATCCAAAGATATATTTGACAGGATTCAAACCCATAATAATTAAAATCTTGATTTATTATTGCATTTTTACGTTTTAATGATTTTTTTTATCAAAATGTTTTTATCAATGTCTTTATAATTTTTTTTACCTTATGATTTTACGTTATAAGATTCTTTATTTTCTTTTCATTTTTACATAAAATCTCACTTTTAACTATTTTTTTCTAACCAATGTTCGTTTCTCATTCTACTCGTCTTGTGTTGCTAATTGAGTTACAAGGGTAAAGACACGCAAAAATTCATGATGAAGGTAACTTTTAAGTTGCTAAGACAAGGAATTTATAGATGCCTTTGAACTCGGATCTTTTAACTCCTGGCGTATTGACGAAGAAAGAAATGAGTGTTTGAAGTCTTTCCTATATTATTTTTAAGGAAAAAGTGGGTGTCATTTTAAAGGATGTAAAGTTGTGTCATTTAAAAGGACAAATACTTTTCCCTTTTTAAAATGATAATACTAAAATTTAAATGTATAATCTCATTTAAACTATTCGAATTTCACTTCCATTTATTTCTTAGGGGTTTGCATTTGTCATTTAACATCACACAACAAACTTTCCTACACACACAATATTTTGTGGGGCCCACACTTTTTGAAGAAAAAAGAAAAAAGGAAGAAAAAAAATTACGGCAGGCAAAACGAATCTCTTTAACATTACACAATCACTTTTACTACATCATAACCCATCTACTTAATTTATTGAGAAAAAAAAAGTAGTGGTTTAGGACTTTAGGCCTTTATATTTCCGTAAATATATTATGATGGACATGACTTGGCGCACGCTATTCGTGTCTGCTATGGCAATAAGTCCAAGGCAGTGATCATTGTGAGGATGAAAATAACAAGGACTCAATTTTTTTAAGGATATATGGATTTGTGGTTGTGGTGGCTGCTCTAGTCATAGCGTGGCTACCAAAGAAAATGACCATTATAAGATGCCAAATTGCATGACAATGGCCTTTTGTTGTTTATAAGATGGCGATAATGAGGGGAACTTGAAACTGACGCACAGTGGTATCCAAAGAAGTTTTTTAATAGATTCATTATGTCAGTAAGTGTAGTAAACAGCTTCTCTATATATGTCTTTTCCGTTTTTAGTGGGAATAAAAACAAAGCATGCATAAAAAGAAAATATGAATGACATTTGGACTAAACTGCCTTCACAGCTAATTTATGCCTATCTTGTCCACCAACCAAACAATTAAATGCATCAGAATGTTTAAGTGATTAGTGAAGCGTGCTGATTACGGGTTTTTATGGAGCATTAGTGTTCTTGATAATCTAGGGGATCTAGAATTATGAATTTATGATGGAACAAATTGGCGTGTTTTCTTAGGGCCGGACTCCTCTGATCAACTTTCATGAAATTTAAGTTTTTTTTTTTAAAAAAAAACATATATATAAAATATAATGTTTGTTATATTATATAAGATAAAATTATTTCTTACACATATATAAAAATATGTGAGACCCATGTGCAATGGCGGAGCCAACGTAGCAACCCAGCCCGGGCCAAAAAAATTTGGTCAGGGCCACGATTATTTAGCCACACTAAACGTAGCTAATGTTTTGAAAATAAGCTTGCAAATTAGCCATGTTGAAACCGTGGCTAATTTTTGAAATTTAGCCTGGGCCAAGGCCCCTTACCCCAACGTGGCTTTGCCATTGCACATGTGAATATATATATATATATATATATATATGAGATATGATATCGTGTCTACATATTTTCATGTCGACTCTATCTATTCTTTTCTAACACCATTAGATTAAAATCTTTAGATGAGTGAGAAAATGCGAAGATTAGTTAAGATTCTGATCTTGCTTGTAAGAAAAGAGTAGGTAGAATAGACATAAAAATTGGTTGTCACAGTATCACAATATCCCCATATATATCACACAAGTTGTCAAAGTTGTTTAGGTTATACTAAATAAAAAAAGCAATGTTTTTCCCAATGATTAAATTGCTTGAAGGATGTGTATGGAGAAGGCTTTGTTGGGAGAGGTTTATCCACTTAATGTGATCTCCCACCTCGAAAGGATTAGTCTTCGACTGTCGGTCGGAGGATACCTTGGAAAACCAAAAAAAAAGAAAATTTGCTTGAAGGAATAAAATAAAAATCAATGCGAATAATTCTATATTTATTATAATGCAAAGAAAATGTCAATGCTAATATATTATAATGCAGAGAAAATTTGAATGCCAATAATTTATATATAAATAAATTTGTGAAGGAGAGAAGTAAGTAGCAGTGTTAATTTAAACCTGATTCGATCCGGCCGGGTTGATCCAAAACTAGTGAACCGGTGACCTAACAGGTTCGAGTTAATCAACGGATCGATAATACGTTAGATTGTTGAGAACCGGGTTGACTCGGTAGAATTTTGTCAAAATCGATGACTCGGTCGATTTTTGTGAACTCAGTCCATGCATATTTTTTTATATAAAAAATTAAAGTGAAACATCATTTTTTTAAGCAACGACCAAATGCAAAATCTCTAAGTTCCCATGCATCATTTTCAATTTACAGATATAGATACCAATCACTCAAAAAGCTAAACACGATTAAACATTTAGAGTTAAGAAAAATGAAAATGAAATGAAAAGTGAAAACCTTATGTAAGTTGGATTGAATTTGAAAGCATAAAGACATAGAAGACACGGAAAGCTAATTTGAAATTTGATATTAATTTTATTTTTTAATAATGATTTTATGGATAATTTTTTTATTTCCATAATTAGGGAGGAGGGCCTAAGCCCGAAAAAATGAATTACAAAGATGCAAGAGTTTTGAAGTTATGAAAAATAAGTAAATGCCCATCCAATAAACTAATCATTTGAGGAGATTGATTGAAGATGATAATATCCTCTTTCATGTAAAGACCTTGTTTTGCAAACTTTTTTTTGCATTTGTTGCTAGACATAATTTTGAATAATTCTGAATAGATATAATTATAGATTTCGCTAGACAAAATAAAAGTTACTACAAATGAATTTTAAATATAAAATATAAATCTATCCGAGTCATGCGGTTCAATGAACAACCCATTCACCTAATAATATAAAGACTGAGTCGATGAATGGTTCATGTTTAATATCATTGGTTTGTAGTGACATCCCAGTCAACTTAATAGTCTTATCTAATTTGGTGAGTCTATCATAAAATGTGTGGTTTCAACGTAACAATTTACTTTAACTAGTGTAATAAATTAATTTCATGTTAATTTATTAAAAATAGTACTATCTCAGCTAATTTATAAGTGGTTCATGGAATTATTTTATTTTATTTGAGTACACATATGATGAGAATTTCAAATCCTAAATATGTCCATTACTTAGGGCTAATTAAGTTGCCTTTATTGAAATATCCAAAAAAGAAGCATTCAAACTAATAAAGTACTCATTCATAATTTAGATTAAAGTACAAGATCGTATGAAGACAATTAATCTTTCTTTAACAATTTCATCTTATAACCAACTCTAAGGTGGATAGGAATGCCTCTAACTGCAAGTTCTACTGCACATGATTTATGTCCTCACATACTTTTTATTTTTAATCTGTATCTCACTCCCTCAATTTTGAATGAGAAACACTGATAGCATAATGCACCCATCATTTCCCTATCTGGTTTTAGCTAATCTAGAAAAGAAGAGTTATATACATATTAATATGTAAAGGAAAACAATATAAGAATACTACATCTTTTCCAAAAAGATGACATGCATGTAACGGCATATTAGATATATAGTGAAGATGAGTGGAGTTTGATATCTGTTTGTCAATCTTGCAAACAACTATTTGTGAAGCAATATAGGTTTGAAGGAATTAAGACATAACATGGTAAAAACTACACTTAACACATACATGCCTAGGGGCTAGGGGTTTTCTTAATGATCTTCACCTGTTTGACAATGAGAAGAACTGAAAGAAGGAGCTACAACAACAGAAGAATAAACCTTAGAACTTCCAAATGAAATTTCACAACACCCAGAACCTTCTTCAGGAATGGAGCAAACTATTGTTTCCTCAACAAGAGTGTCAAATTCGTCTCTCATGATCTGATTTTTCCAAGGCATGACTGTGGAATAAACAGATGAGGAAAGTGCATGGTTCTTCTTGACTGCATGCATAAGAAGCTTGTAAGCCCTAGGATTCTTTCCCAAAATGGTGTAGCTTTCCTCATGAGTGTTCATGATTCCCGGGTTTGGAAAGTTTGTTTTGGCATTTCTTCCTCTAAGAAGCCTTGCAGCACAATCATAAGCCATGGCAGCATCTTCTGCTCTGTCAAAAGTTCCTAACCAAAGCCTCAGTTTCTGTGATGAGTCCTTGATCTCAGCAATCCATCTTCCTGAAGGCCTATGTCTCACCCCAAGAAATTTTTTCTCATTCTTGGTTGTTATTTTTGGAATCTTCATAATACTCTCTTCTCTCTTCTCATAGGACTTATCTATTTCAAGAGGCACCAAAGAAAGATTCTTGTTTTGGTTTTGAGATTGGTTTGGAAATTTTGATGTGACTACTTTTTCCATGAGAGTAGGAGAAAGGGTTGGTTTTTACCATAAATGAAAAGGAGGTGATCACTGATCTCTAATAAATGCAATAATGAGGTTGATGATGAGGTGATGACATGCTTTTTGTCAGATTTCGGGTTTGTTTCCTTCTTCAAATTATATATTATCTTATGCATAAAAGAGAAGAATTGTAGAATCTTATCAGAAAGAATTTTTTTTTTAAAAGGCATCTGATTCAGATTGGAAACATGTAAGAGTGTGAGAGATGTTGATAAACACTACTACAGTACTAGTCTTTTTAAATTGTGACAAACATATCTAAAATGTGGTTTTTAAAATTTTAAGTAGCATGGATAATTATTATCTATTCTATCAATTTATCAGATGGAACGAGGCTTATGGAGTATGGCTATCAATGGTCCTTGTTTGGCTCAAGAGTCAACATTGAAGACAAACATTAGAAGAGACAAAAATTGGCAACTTACTGGTTTAGCTGTGAATTCTTTTAAAAATCTTAACACTTGATGAAAATTAACGCATTTCTTTATGGATTACGTGCATACCAAAAGCAGGGCAAAATGGTACTTTTGACACTTGTCACTTGAAGTGAATGAGAAAATTCCAAGGGAATGTGATGATGTAAGCCGTTTTTATTCTGATTAATATATATTTGAAAATAAACTGTTTGCTTAACTAGTACCCCTAGAGGCAAAACTCCAACAACCAACAAACAAAATTTCACACCTCAAAAGCCCGAAAACAAACAGAACCCACATGTTTTTTTTTAACTTGATACCAAATTAAAAACTAATATTGAACATTTGTCATATAATGGCTGTCTTTGTTGTCATTGTTAGTTCCTCCAAGTATGCTCTTCTCAAATTATAAAAATAAAATAAAAAATAACCTCTCAATTCTGGAGCACTGCAAAATTCTCAGATGAATCAGTGGGTAGCTTTCTTGTTGGATTATCTTAAGTTCTTTTTTATATTCTTTTAAAAAGTTTTACTAGGTGAAAATTGTAACCTTATGTTTAGACTCTTGTTAAATAACAGACAAGAATTCTATTGCAATCACAGCCATATCCCGAAGACAAAGCATATATGCTGAACCTTATATGAGGTATATATCTTATGGAATATTACAATCTAATAAACAAACCTAATAATACAGACGAGAGAAAGGATACCAATGGGGACAGAAATGATATAGGTTGGTGCCAAGCTTCAATCCAAATTTGCTGTTATAAGCAAAGCTGCTTTGTTTTGTTTCCTTATTATGAAGGGATAACAATAATAAAAACACAAGATATATGTGGATCACCCTTCTAATATATACCAGAACTACGTATGCAGGGCTAAAAGATGGTACAAACACCACGACATAAAAGGAGATTACAAGTGCATAGCTTTATGCACAATCCAAAGTGGCTAATATCAAAACCTCAAATTTCCTAAAGCTACACGCTGCTTATATATCCGATAGCTGAGTTGGTGAAAAGGAATTTAATGGATGGGGAAAGATGTTGGTTCAATTTCCACCGATGCCACTTTGGGGAGGGGCATAAAATTTTAATCCTTGACCCGTCTCGCATTTTGAATTAATCTTATAGCCGGCTCAAAGAGACAAAGATATATTCAAGTATTAGGTTAAACACTATATTGTAGTTGTTTTATATTTAAGCATTTTTTTTCAGAAAAAAATATTTCTGCAATTACGGATTTATATTGAAGATTTTTTTTCAGAAGAAAATATTTCTACAATTACGGATAAGTTATCTGCATTTATTCCCAAAACGAAGTCGTTTTAGGATTGAAAGATTAAAAAATTATAATTATAAAGACTATATTAACCCTGAAATAAATTAAAATTACAAAAACATCATAATTTCTGTCCCAAAATAATGTCATATTGAACTTACTTAAGATAACTTACCTGCAGAAATTTTGTTTTTTATTTGTATTGTTTGTTTATGTCAAGAATTGGCGGACGTTTATGGGGCTATTCTAGTGATATCGCTGAACCGCTAGAAATCCATCAGGGAACTAATGACATATCATTTCTCGTGTTTGTTTCATGATTGGACACACAAACCTAAGTTACTCAGTATGTAAAATGATATAACATTAAATCTACCAAAAAAAAATAAAAATTGATATACATTGTGAGGGCATGGGAGATGAATGCATATGATTCCTATGCTTTTTTCCTCTATCTTTTAATTTTCCATTTTCAAAATATATAATTTTTTTTTATGATTGAGAAAAAAGAAAAGAAAAATTTGGGCAAAGATTAAAAAAACAAAAAAGGAAAAAGAGAATAAACTTTAAACTCGAAAAATAGCATTTCCTACCGACAACACGGCGTGGCATAAATTATGTAAGCTTGTGGAAAGAAAAGGCTTGCTGTTTTGATGAGTCATATTGACTCATTTAGGGGTTATTTTTCTATATCTTTAAAGTGAGATTTTTAAATTTATAGTAGAGGAAAACTTTCACACTAAACATAATTAACACCTCTTATAAATGTGAGTGTGTTTGCCTTACACACAATGGAGCCCACTTGGAATAGAAATAGTTATGACTCACTTACGATTAGGGAATATTCCCCACTTATAAATTTCCTTCTTCCGTAATTTAAAAGGCATATGCTAAAATATTCTCAAAGTCATCGTGCCCTTAAACATTTTTTTCCCTTGCTCACAGCCTTCACCTGAGATTACTTAGAGTGACTCCTTTCATAGATCTTTGGTATATATTTTTGTCTCTTTGAGCATTGCTATATCAAGAGATTTTATCCTTTGAGAAAATAAACCTAATCTCATCACACAAACAATTCACTATCCAATGGCATAAAAACTTATACGTGATCTCAAGTAGGACATAGCTAAAAATTTAATATGAAGAGACTAGATTTAACATAAAAACCAAAATAGAAAAGCCGTTTTCTTTTCTTACTTTCTTCATTTTTTATTTTATTTTTAAAGGTAAATCATATATAATAATAAAAATTATATTATATATACAAAACTTTACAAATTAAATGTGATGAAGGTTATATTTACAACTTTTTTTTTACAACCTCTTACAACCATATCTTATCACCGTTGATTTCCGCTAATCAACGGTCATTATTTTCGCAAATTAAACTCATTAATTAATTATTAATTCATAATAAATGATAACTGTTGATTGACGGAAATCAACAGTGAGTGTTGTAAGAGGTTGTAAAAAAAAATTGTGATTATAACTTTCCTCATTAAATATATACAAAAAAATATTTAAAAAATTACTGGTTTTGCACCCTGAGTTTTCGCTGGCCATGGACTACAAGCAAAGAGTTTGCTTGCAGTCTTGGGCATCAGCTCGTTGTACTACTAAAAACAAAAAACGGAATGGCCCAATATGTAGCTACCCCGTCATTGCCCAAATGGACTTAAACTCTTGAGGTCCAGATTCTTTTGTGTTATAGTTAGATTTTTTTTATTTTTTATTTTGGATACAGTTATAGTTGGATTTCAGTATCACACACACCACATCACTTTTTGGAAGAACTGTTTTGTTTTATGCACTCATAGAATTAGAACTCGAGGAGGGAGAATGATTAAAATTCAGTGACTTCATGTCTTTGCACAAGTGAGATAGAATATGTTGGCATAGTGTATATACCAAGTTGATGTTAGAATATGTCTTCTCCACCAAAGAGAGAGATGCCACGTGGATTGGTGATAGTATTCGAGCTTCAAATATGGATGGTGCATAGGTGGACATAAAGTGCCAAAAGGTGAAGAAGCTCTTCGGATTTCGGCCACACATGACCCATCACAAGTCCACAATAAGTGCATTTATCATCAACCAACCAGTCTCTCTCTCTCTCAAGTGAGAGTAGCTATGGAGATTACTGCCATGGCTTCAGCAACTCCAAGACCTTCTCTTCCAACTCCTTCTACTTCTCCTTCTCACACAGTCACCACCTTCTGCAAGCCTCAACTGAGACGCCCCCATATATCACTACCAACCTCAACCACCATTTCTCTACTCGCTCTCTTCACACCTCCCAACGAAGCCAAAGCCGCTCTCAGCATCTCCAAGGACCAGATTGTCTCTTCTCTCACCCAAGTAAATTCCCACTTTGCATTGCAAATTCAGATTATAAAGTTCAAGACTTTCAACAAGTTCCCTCAATTTGCACGCATGCCCAGTACCTTCAATTGCTTTTTTTTTTTTTTTTTTTTAATTTCTGAATTCATTTATAGGTGGAGAAAACCATCGATCAAGTTCAGGAGGTGGGTTCGAGTTTCCTGGACACGGCACAGCGTGTTGCTGAAGTTGTAGGGAATGCTTTGAAGCCTGGCATCGAAACGGCGTTGCCAATTGTGCAGCAAGCTGGGGAAGAGGCCTTGAAAATTGCTTCCCCAGCATTCTCTGAGGCTTCCAAGAAGGCCCAAGAAGCACTACAAAGCTCCGGTGTTGATACCGAACCTGTTCTCTCTGTTGCTAAGGTTTGCTTCGTTGGGCTTTTCTATCTTATTTGAGGCCAATTTTCTGTTGGTTAGCTCTATTTGATAGTGACATTTGCTATAGCAATGTTGGTTAACATTTTGCTGGATATAAATTTTTGCAATGTTGATTGTGGTTCCTGTTTTAGCAATAATGTGCTAAATAAATTCTTGGGCATGCAATAACATTCCCTTTTGTGTCTCTGGCTTTGGCATGTGATCGTTGGTGGATAGAAACCAATCATGGGGTTTGACGTCTTTGCTGAGTTTCAGCATAAACTTCATTTGTTAGTTTCTCAGTTTACTGGGACTTCAGGTTAAGGGTGTGCTTAGTTGGAAAACTATGGCTTCGTACTTCGTATTCAGATAACAACTTTTATTGGCGGGACAGAGAGAAAGCCAATGGGTCCCGCTCATCTGGGTCGGGAGAGCCACCTCGCCTGGGGTGTGGGGGCCGCGCTCTCGGGACTGCGGAGGCCTGATATTGTTGTGGGCCTCTAGCTTACTTTTTTTTTTTTTTTCTTTTTTTAGTAATTTGGATTTGAATCCATGAATAACTAGTGTTGTTTAAGGTCTCTAAGCTTATTTATATTCCCCTTGTAATTAGTGTGCTGTGAGAGTGCGGTGAAGAGAATATAGTGAATATTGCTGGACATAGCCCACATTCGGTTAACTAGGATAAATTCTGTGTTTTCGTTTTCTTTCCTTCTCTCTTTACTATTTTGTGATCGCGTGTGTTTTTGTTTGATCCCAACAGGGGATGAAATTGGAAAAGCTTTGTTTTCAAATGATACATTTTCTTTTGTTCTACTTAGCAACCACACCTTAAGTGTGGATAAATGATATTTAACATTTTATTAAGCCATTGTTTAACCTTTAAAACTTTAGACTACCAAATGTCTTTGGAGATATTTGAATTGGTATATTTTCCTTTGAACTGGACAAGTTCTTTCGAATTTCCTATTTTTCTTTTCAAATTTTCAACTAGATGATGGTATGCTGCCCCCTAATGGAGAATCGAAGCTCTATAGAACATATTGAACTTGCTTAGCCTAAGTACCTGTCAGAAAGATTGGCTCACGAGTTTGATCCTCACCGCCTCCTATTTTCTAGTGGAATTAAGTTAGCAAAAGTTAGAACAAAATAAATAAATAAACATGTGCAATGTCCATGCTTGGGCTCTTGTGTACGAGGACGTGTTAGAGAGATATATAAAACCATTATTGTGACTTTTACTTAACAGCTTGAGCATAGTTTATCAGTACCTGAAAGAATTTCTATCTCAGCTTTAAAGGTGAAGTTTTCACCGGTTTGTTAATTTTCTTGATATTAGAAGTACCGAGTTTATCAACCTAATCCGGATGCTCTTTGATTTCAGACAGTGGCAGATGCTGCACAGCAAACGACCAAGGTGATTGAAGGTGCCAAGCCAATAGCCTCGTCAACAGTTGAAACCATATCTTCTTCAGATCCTACTGTGATTGCTGGAACAGCTGGAGCACTATTTATTGCATACCTCCTGTTTCCTCCTCTCTGGTCTGCCATCTCCTTTAATCTTCGTGGTTACAAAGGTACCTTTGACATGTTCTGATGCAAACTACTTTACTATTTATTTGGTTACACCATTGCATTAATGGATTTTCAAGCTCCACAAACACATCATTGAGTAATTTATGTTAAACATCACTTTTCTTTTAAGGCTAATACTTCCGCTTCTATTACTTTGTAGGAGAGCTAACTCCTGCTCAAACCCTTGATCTGATATGTACACAAAACCACATTTTGATTGATATTAGGTCAGAGAAGGATAAGGACAAAGCTGGTATCCCTCGCCTTCCCTCTAGTGCTAAAAACAGGATGGTTGCCATTCCGTAAGTGATGCTTAAACTAGAACTTCAACTTTTGAGCTTTATACACTTATTTTCTGATCTACCACTTACTTGGAAAAATAAAAATGAAATAAAAAGAATCAAAATTCTTATCATGATTAAATTTTGTCAACTGGACATGTACCTACTATCACTTGTTGATGTGGCCTTTAATTCAGTTTGGAAGAACTGCCAAGCAAACTCAGAGGTCTAGTCAGGAATGTGAAGAAAGTGGAAGCTGAAATAGCAGCTTTGAAGATTTCATATCTCAAGAAAATCAACAAAGGCACTAATGTTGTGATCTTGGATTCGTGAGAGTCTAACTTATTTTACCCATTTAGGTCTAATTTTATCATATTCAGTTTGTGGTGGATTCTATTTTTTATATTAATTATTGGTTTTTGGATAATATTATTAGGTACTCGGACTCGGCAAAAATAGTTGCAAGAACACTAACTAGCCTTGGTTTTAAGAACACCAGCATTGTTGCTGATGGATTTTCTGGAAACAAAGGGTGGTTACAGAGTAGATTAGGAACAGATTCTTATAAGTTTTCGTTTGCAGAGGTGCTGTCACCATCCAGAGTCATCCCTGCAGCTGTCAGAGGTTTTGGTACATCTAGCCAATCTAGCCCGAAACTTCTTCCTGGGGCTGATTGACTCTTTTTCTGCACTTAACTCCTGCAAATAGAAATCCCTCTTTTGAATGCTTGAGTCCTCCAAATTATTTATTTGATTGTTTTCCCATTATTATTTCATCAATGTAAAATCCTTTCTACCTCCTGCCTTTGTGCATGTTTTGAGTAGTATTTCCCTTAACTTGCAATAACCGAGGAGAATGCAAAAATAAGAAGACAAAAAATGTAGTATTTGCTTGTTATGATGCACCGACACTTCAACACGCTACACAGACTCAAGAAAGGTTCAAAGATTGTGTTGTTTTGCATTTTTAGTTCCAACTACTAGATTCGTTGGATTACGATTACCATTTTATTGAGTTTAATATAGATATTTGAAATATTTTAATTTTTTTACAAAATTAATGAGTATTATAAGTTTAGTTTGATTTTCTTGTTAAACTATTAGATTCCTTGTCTCATTTGCTTCCTCAAAGAATGCATGGTGCATCCTCAAAGAATACTAAAATCGAGATTTAAATTAATAGTTACCTTGTACATAAGCTCAGCAAGATATAATAAGTTTAAAATATGTGACAAGCCAATAACTTTATTCTTGCATGTTCATTTCTCTTTTATTATTACAATTTTTTTCTTTCAAATTATAAATTTTCTAAGCATGCGGAGACAATGCAAATTTTTGCAGATAAATTATTTGCATTTATTTCTAAAATGACATTGTTTTAGTATTGAAATCTTAAAAAATTATAAATATAAAGACTATTATAATCCTGAAATAAATTAAAATTACAAAAATACCATAATTTTTGCCACAAAATGACGTCGTATTGGGCTTTCTGCATATAACTTATCTGCAGTAACTGCAGAAAAAGCGAATCCATGTTTATTATTATATTTTCAAATTGAAAATTTCTTATACACTCTAGTGAAATTTATTTCATATTCATTTTTAATTTTTATTAGAAAAAAATATTTCTGCAGTTAATGAGATAAGTTATCTGCTTTATTCTCGAAACAACGTCGTTTTGATATTGAAATTTTAAAAAATTATAAATATAAAGACTATTATAACCCTGAAATAAATTAAAATTGCAAATACACTATGATTTCTGTCACAAAACGACATCGTATTAAGTTTACTGCAGATAACTTATCTGCAGTAACTACTGCAGAAAAAACGAACCCCTTTTTATTAGAATAAAATATCGTTTAATTTTTTATTGTATATAATAAAATTTTAAATATTATAAATGTTGAAGAATATCGGAGCATTAAATAACTGTGAGGGTATTCGAGATTTGGCAGGAAAAAATAGCGTTATTGAATAGGAGCATTATTAAGAGTATGTAGAATTATTTTTTGTAAATATTTTTTTTTATGTTATAAATAAAAATTTATTTACATATTAAAAAAAATAGGATACTATAACAATTAATTAGGGTTACTACCAATAAATTTTATTGTTAGATCAATTATGTTGGTCTAAAGTTTGTATTTATTTTTAGCTTTGTATAGTTATGATTTCTTTTATTTAATGTGAAAACATTAAATATTAAAAAATATAACCATATAAAGGTAAAAATAAATATAAAATATTAAATATCAAGAATCATAATAATACAAAAATAAAAATAAATATACTTGTTGAAACAATATTATTGATCGATGTAATGGTGAAATTGAGATATTGATAATCAGGAAGTGGATTGCGCTACAGTACATAAGTCATCCACTTTGGCCATTTCTCTTCGTCTTGCTCCACCGAACCCAAACGAAGACGTTCCATTTTCCGACTACTTTTTTCTAAATTTCCATGGAGTAAACCATCCTATTCAATTAGGGTTAGGGCATCATTCGTTCCTTTAATTAAACAACAGTCAACATGGTCGCTCTTTCGCTTTCAGCTCCTCATTTCGCCACCGCTTTCCTCGGCAAGAAATTGTACCCTCTCTTTCTATTTCTTGATGCGTGCTCTTTTTTTAAAATCATTGTATGGCCAGATTAATCATTTTATTTTATTTTAATGATTTCGGATTTATCAACCATTTTTTTTTTCTATCATTTATGCTCCTGAATTTGGCTTTTGTCAGGCCCCTCCGAGAGAATACCGGGAAGCTGACAACCTTCTCCGGTGTTTCATTTCGCACGAGATGCGCGGTGGATACGCCCTATGAAGGTATCACCTTGTGTGTATGTGTGTGTTTTTTTTAAGCATTGAATTCATGTGGATATGTATTTGGCTGAGAAAACAATGAAGACTTAGTACTAATTGAGCATATTCCTATTTTTGCATGTTAATTATGTCAACAATTGGACATTATTGGTAAATATGTTATCTAAATGACAATTATTATTTGTTAGTATTACTCTATGTATATAGATACACATGTATGCTTATCTGCAGCCAATGAGCCTTGTCTCAGCTCTTGCCATGGTACTTATGGATAAAGGTGGAAATGAGCTGTGTTGTTAATGAGCTACTTGGGTCTAGCTCACTGAAAGCCAGTCAAGTTCATTCATTTAATTAAACAAACAAGCCCAAACCTAGAGCTGGACTTGATTACTTAAATGAGCCAAGCCAGAGCTTTATATACTTTGTTTTTTATATTCTTTTTTTTTTTTCTTCAAAATATTTCATTATTAAGATAGTCATAGGGTGAAGTTGGTATCTTGGTAAGATTTACTGAGGATGCAAATATGCGACCTCCATGCTATATGGTTTGGATATGATTAATTCCATGTTTCCTTATAGTCAGTTTCCATTATATCACGTGGCACACCAATGCCTTTGATCTAAAACATCTATTTTGTTAGTCTACCTGGTGAACAAGGATCGCAATTTCTATTTTCCCTACTATATATCATAATACTTGTTTATTAGTTAGCTTATTTAAGCTTGAACTCAGTTGTTCAAGCTTAATTTTCTAGTCCATTCTTCAGCTTCTGATTTTTTTGCTCAAGCCAAATTCCCTTTTCTAGATAAGTAAAGGAAAAGCCCTGGGTAAGCTTGGCTTGCCTTTGATTGGGACTTGGGAATTTTAGATGGATTGTATACCTCCAATGAAAATTCACCCTCTGCTTTCCCCCTCTCCCTCTCCCTCTTTATATATAACTGTTATCTTTAAACCTTTACGTATAATATGGATTAGTAGACATAAGACAGTTTTCTTGGGGGAGGGGGGTACTTGATGTGGTGAATTCCCAGACTAAGCAGGACAGCACTTCAAGAATCAAACTCCAGCAACATCATTTGTTGAGCAAAAGACAAGAAGGGAAATTAAAAATGTTTAACCTGAGAGGGAGACTGTGCTCATTATCAGCCATTGCAGCTTCATTCTCTGGAGTTTGGGTGGGAGCCAACTGCCACTCTGTTGAAGAGCGGCTTTATCTTCTTGATAATCTTCCTTTCTTGAGAGATAATCTTTTGCACCAATTATCAAAACTTCAACTCCAGTTTTTGATCCAATGTAATATTAGCTCATAAAGTCTACATTTCTGCTACTTAGCTACATTTATCTGTCTTTTATTTTCCACCTTATGGATTAGACAATTTGATAAATGAACTTATATATACTTCTTCTCTACAGGTAATATCCAAAAATTCCCTCGAATCAGTGTTTGGGATCCTTACCGACGCCTTGGTGTTAGCAGTGATGCTTCTGAAGAAGAAATTTGGGGATCAAGAAATTTTCTGTTGCAACAATATGCTGGACATGAGAGGAGTGAAGAATCGATAGAAGCTGCTTTTGAAAAAATATTGATGGCTAGTTTCATAAACAGGAAGAAAACAAAAATTAATTTGAAAAGCAGGTTGAAAAAAAAAGTAGAGGAGTCTCCACCATGGTTCAAGAACTTGCTCAACTTTGTTGAACTTCCACCAACTGAAGTTATTCTCAGAAGATTGTTTCTCTTTGCCTTCATGGGTGGCTGGAGTATTATGAATTCTGCTGAAACTGGACCTGCTTTTCAGGTTTGCTTTGAATTTCTTATATTATTAATCTTCGTGTGGTGTATAATCAAGTGCATACTTTTTTAAAATAAAACTATATTTCATTTTTCTAAAAGAAAATAATAATAAAGGAAATCAAAATTATGCCACTTCCTATAAGAAAAGTATTTGGACTGTGACATGCAAAATTTTAAAAAAGAAAACAAAATAATATATTCATCTAGTCCTTACCTTCTAATCCATGTGTGTCAGAGTTGTTCTCCATAATCCATGGTTAAGCCAACTACCAATCTCTAGATATACATATACTCTTGCTTCCTATGGGCTGTAGGATGCCTGGTTTACTTGATGCGATTTCAGTGACTGTTTGATAGAAACAGACGCACAATACTACTGAAATGCTTCTTTTATTATTTATACATGTACAAGAAATTCCACAAAAACAGTAGATATCTCTTGGATGAAAGTAGGAAATAGTACAAGTAGAAGAAAATGAAAGAAAGTATAAGAAAACTCTCTCAATTCCCAGAACTGAGAGCCCAGGCCACACTTGGCTGAAATTTCCCCAAATTTCTGTTCTGACCTCCTCCTCTCTCTTCCCATCCCTCTATAACTATCTTTACCAACTCACCCCCTTCTCTCTCTCCCCTTCCCATAACAACGTCCCTCATTCCCTCCTTCTTGTGTTCCTTTTCTCTTCGTAACCTAAACCTTCCAAGTTTTAGGCCCATAATGAACATATCTATCTATTGGCCCATAACCTCTTCACTATGAGGAAGATTCCTATCCCTGTTTACTGTCTTTGACTATTGTCGAAGGCTGTATAGATTTTCAGATCAGCCATTGTGCGGATCATGTCTTCTGACTACCTGACTTTCAGTTCATGATGTTTAATACTTTAACCATCAAGCATAATTTTAATCTTGATTTGCAACATGATCATGCACATTTTTAAGGCTTTCTGTCTTTCCAATAAAATTTTGATATTGCCTTTGTTAATACATGTCTGCTTATCCTTTTATTTGTTCACCTGTGTGTGAAGGCATATTAAGGTGAATGTGTTCTAACTATTTAATTCAATGTAATTAAAACCGGAACGGTCGGTCGAACTGGTTCAAGCAGAAACAGAACCACCAACCAGTCCGGTCTTGCCATTGGATTGATCATGCATTCGAACTGGTGTTAAACCAGTGAATCGGCTATAAACCGGTGTTAAATTGGTACCCATTTTTTAATTAAACCGATGTTCTTAAATGTTGTGTAGAATGGTGGAAAATGTGATTGTTGGGGATTGAACCCTAGACTTGAAGATTGAGACAAGTAGCTGTTACCACTTTATTATATTTATTACACACTTACATAAATTCAATTTAATTGGTTCAACCCATGATCCACCTGTTACCTGGCTGAGTTAATGACCAGTTTGAGTTTAATAACACTATTTAGTGCCTGTTTGGATCCTTTTTTGTTTAAGTTAGAAGCTACTTATAAGCATAAGCTAGGCTAAACAAGTGAGGGAGAAAGCTTGTTTTTGAGAAAAGCTCTTATAATGGAAAACTCTTTTTTTTTATAATGAAGAAAAAAGCTAAAAGCTAAAAGAGAGGGAGAGATAATTTATTACACACTTTTTTTAAGCTCTTATCTGTTTTTCTTGAATTTTGTGCTTTTTTTAAAAATAAAGAGCTATAAAGATAGAGAGAGGGAGCGATAATTTTATTGAAATATGTGCTTTTAAGTTAAATTTTTTATGTAATTACCAAACAACTTTTAGCTTCTTTTTTTGAGCTCTTTTTTTTTAGCTTTAACTTATAAGTAGCTTCTAGCTTAAAAAAGAGAAGATCCAAACAAGCTCTTAATCTAAGGTGGTGTTTGTTTAGGAGTTAGTTCTATATTATGGGAAATGTTGAGATGGGCATGAAAGATGTTTGTTACATGATTTAGAAAATGTTTTAGGATCGTTCCCACAATATCATGCCCATGGAGGTGGGTATCATTCATTCCCATGACAGGGAAATGATTCATGTCATACAAAATGACCTGCTTACCCAACCTTTCCTTCATCCCCATTATTTCTGCCTCCATCCTGCCCATCTTTGCTGCTGCCACTTCATCCTCTCTGCTGTTCACCATGGACACCAATCATCCTTCATGGATGTTGATAAACACTTTCAACCGACTCTGAACCAGTTTCCCTTCTAGATGGTTATGTCATATTCCTCTTCAAACCATGCCAGCATCCTCTGACTCAGCCACCTGTGCTCCCAGCCATTCCTGAGCGGCACTGTCTCCACCACCACCCAGCAAGTTGGGGACTTGGGTCACACCCTTCTCGCCACTCTCCAATCCAATTCATTTCCAATGTCAAAGAAGAATAAACAGGAATGCAGTAAGGGGTTGTCCTCTTTGGCTTGTTGCAAAGGAAGAAGGAAATTTTGTTTATTTTCAGGGATATTTTTGTCATGTAATCGAACATTATTGGGAGTAGGTTTCTAAATCTACATAGGAATACCAAATGTGGGCATGATAGGTTTTTAGGAGTACTATTCCTTGGAATATCATTCTTGGGAATCTTACTCCCAGGAATGAAAAATCAACTCCGGAAACAAATGCCCCGTAAGATTCATGTATTGTTGGAGTTACATCTGGGGACATTATTGAAATAGTTGCATATGCTCTCTCTCCACTCTCCATTCTCCACTTCCTGCTTCTTCGTGTGCATGAATTAGAACTCTTTCTTTTGCTACAGGTCGCAATCTCTTTGGCTGCTTGCATATATTTTCTTAACGAAAAGACAAAGAGCTTGACCAGAGCGTTCATTATTGGGTAAGTGGCACAATTTGCTTCAACTTATGTTTTTCCTTTGATTTTTGTTTATTCACCATCTACATTGTTTTATTGCGCAATTATAGGTTTGGAGCTCTAGTGGCTGGATGGGTTTCTGGTTCATTGCTGGTACCCAATATTCCATCTATGTTGCTGCGCCCAACTTGGACTCTTGAACTCTTAACATCATTGGTAGTTTATTTGTTCTTGTTCATTGCTTGTACTTTTCTCAAGTGAAGTGGCAACTATTCTTTCATAGTTTTTCAGTGTCCACTGTCCTGTACTCTTATTGAGTTACTAGTTGCCCAAACTCAACTTTTTATTTTTTGAGTGTGCTTGCTATGAATACTCCTGTTTGAGTAGGCAATGGTTGGTATAGATATTACCAAGCCTTGAATCCTTGCCTAAATTTCGGGTTGGCTATTGGCAAGTTCCACCTTGGCGGAAATCTTTGCATCTGTCATCGAACTCATCTCGTGACTAACTGCTCTAATCTTGGATTCAGGCTGAGGCGAGCAACGAGCTCCTAACCTCACCAATCATCTCTCTCTCTCTCTGCCACAAATTAGTGAAATTTGATTTACAAAATTTAATAAAAAAAACTTAACTTCGAATGGAATTTGTCCCAATGTTTCTAATACAAGGTACTAATATAGAAGTGCATTGAAATAATTACTAGGATTATTAACTAGGTTTGTCATTTGTCAAGTCGTAGTTCTTCGTGATATGAAAGATTTATTGGGTGTGTAACTTGTTTTAGAAGCAAATTCTTTAAGTATTAATTTTAAGAGCATTGCATATTCTAAGCTTTTTGGTGAATTAAAAGATAATCTTTGCTTGTTTGAGGGATTTGGATCCTCTTATTTATATGACAGTGTCATGTTATCGGAGAAAAAGTATAGAAATAATACTAATGAATTTTACAAAAATAATGGTAAGTTTTGCTTTAATTGTTTGTTTTTCTTTTATAATAAAATGGTATTATCTTGTGGATCTCATTTTTTAGGAACAACTTCGGCAATATTACCAATTATACTCTAGATTTGTGGCCATGCTTAAAATATGTGACAGATGTGGGCCAAAAAAAAAATCCCAAACAAGAATAACCAATCATAACCTATTTATTAACGAGGGAGGCAATGTTAGTTGTTATTTAGTGATTCATGAGTCCTCCGAGTGAATTTTCTCATGTGATTTGAGGTGAAATGATTTTAACCATTCAAATATAAATTAATGGTGATGAGAGAATGTATTAAAATAAAGTGTGAGAAATTCATTATTGTTGATTTATACTTGAATGATCGATCCTCTCAAATGATTTTATGTTACATGATAGGATTTATTCCCCATCACTGAAATATCATTATTTTGATTCATTTTTTTTTTTTGGGTAAATACCTTTATATAATTTCTGTTTAAGTTTAATTGGTTCAGTTTTTTGATGTATAGCTATGGCTATAAAAATATCATATATGGATTTTCTCGTGTTAAAAAAAACATAGCATGGTCATATAAGAAATCAAAATCATAACCGTTAATTCATCTTTGTATGAATGTGATTTTCTTATATCATTATGTCATGTTTTTTTTTTCACATATCTATTTCCAAAAACACTGTATCAAGTGTAACTTGTCTTGGATGTTCAAAAAGATACTTAGAGTGAGTATATAAATTTTTGTTGGTGTTAATGCAATATCAGATTATTATTCAATAATAATTAATTAATTTGTCCAATTTGATTCCTTTACACTGTAATGATTAATTTAATAACATAAACTTGACATTATATTTATGTATTTATAAATGAAAGATGATTATGATAGGAAGTTAACGTAGTCAGGAGTCAGGACGTGATTTGAAACTTAAAAAACTAACACCAACATTAACATTATCAAGGGTTGATAGGAGCCTGCCCAATAAATTTAAGAAACACAACACGTAAAAATTTTACAAATCTAAATGCTAAATGCTACCGCCTACCAGTACTAAATAAGGATTAGAGAAATTAAATGACAAGATCCAACATACGAAAACACACGACCATACATAACTCTAAACATGAAGCCTAAACTTGAAACATAACAGTACCTAACAAATTTAAGACAAGCTAGTTTTCCATGCTATTAAATATATATGTATCAAGGGCATGCTCTGTTGTGCTTGCAACGCGAGTCCGATCGGTTATTCTTGATAGCATAGCATCCCAACGCATATATGACAGTGACGAGTAAAAGCGCACATGCGTTGAATACGGTGAGATGTCTCCACTGGTTCCTGATATTGGCCAGCACTCCTCCTTTGCATGAATTACAATCGTAGCACAGTTTATCCTCCCTATTATTCCATGTGTTGCAGTCTGAATTATTCGCCGCTGCACCTTTCTTTGGCACTTCCCAGAACGTAGCGTTCTTCATTATGAATCCACAGTGCACCGGAGGCTTACAGCACCCAAACTGAAAAAAATCAAAATCCAAAATTAACAACCCATTGACAATAAGGTGAATTGACCATGTCCTAATTATTGATGGGTAAATCAACGGCGATACGGAGTTAAAGAGAAAAAATATTAAAATTAGAAATGACAAAATCATCGCTACTAATTTATCCACGGATGCTTCGAATCCTCTCACTGTTTGGGCTAGGGGAGTGGACCCTCTCATATGTGAAAAAGTGATTATGTGGTTATGCTATTTGATCACAACCACTCATTTAAAAATTGTATATTTTTCTCTCTCTTATCTCATCATCAATAAAATCAATAAATAATTGTGATGAAATAATATGACCACATAATTATTTTTTCACATGTGAGAAGATGCACTCCCATCAAGAGAGAAAGATTATGAGAAGTTAGTTAGTTATTAACACATAACCTGGGTGGTGGACAAGTGTTTGAAAATAAGAGAGTCGTTGTTCCGACCACCACTGACGTCGAGGTTCTGACAAACATGTGCATCCATCAAACAACTCTTGACCTCATCCCAGTTCTTGTCATTGACCACGTAACGCTGCAACCAGTGAGAGAAATCGGTGACCCTGTACTCGCCGTAGCCTTTGCCTGATATCTGTTGCCCCACCTTCTTGTTGGTGACGAACAACGCGAAGATAGTGAACAAGGCGAGCCCCAAGATCAGCAAGAACGTCACGAGCAGGTAACTGTAGAGTGCCACGTTGACACGGCACAGCGACCCCACGATTCCAAGTATGGAGACAAGGATCACGAAGACGCCGCCGATGAGGAGCGGGTACTGCAGCACCTTCTGGCAGTCAGTGGCGTTGCCACCGTGGATGTGTATGTAGGCAGAGAGACCGACGGCTGAGATTCCGAGGAGTAAGGACACTATGTTAAGTGCACCAACCACGGTGTTGCTTACGCGGAACATAACGAACGGTGTTGGTGTTCAAGAGTACTTTTGATATCTACGTACGTAGTTGAAGAACGTAGCTGTTTTTGTGAGAAAGAGGGTGAAATGTTATGTGTTACATTAAAATGAAAGTTGAAGAGGAGGTTGTGTTGTGGGTTGGAATTGTACGTAACTGTCTTATAAGTGGAGGTGGGAACAAAAACGGTTAGTGTAGGAGTTTGAATGTTTGAAGCGATTGCATGTCGAGTTAGAGTTATTTACAGATATGCCATCCATGGTGATGATGATTGTCAAGTTGGCAAATTGTAAGAAAGCCACGTCATTGATGACCGGTTACAGTTTGGGGCTCTTCCTGGTCCACTACTACAGTGGGACAGTTACCCCACAATTAATAAACAACTGGCTTCCATTCTTCTCTTTCCTTTTTTTTTTCTTCTTTTTTATATATTAGACTTAAAAATTAAAAAAATAGTTTGTTACTTTTTGTTTTGTAACACTACATGCAAGGGAGACGCAATTTTCTTATATGATTTTCCGGACTGGAACTAGGACTGTTTTTTTGACAAAAAAAAAATTAAAATATTATTATTTTAATAAATAATTACGAATAAATTGCTGTTTTGAACCTATATACGAATTTATTGCACTCATTCACGTCCAAATTAAACGTGACTCCTAAGGCATTCACGCCTAAATTAAGCGTGACTCGTCTGGTGCTAACACGTGGTACAAAAAATTAATAGTTTAACCGTAAAATTTTATAAGGCCATAACTTTTGACTCGGGTATTCGAATGAGGTAATTCTTTTTTTGATTTCACATAACTTTTCGAGATCTACGCAATGACTTCTCATTTGATATATTTTATCTCTCACAAACATAATTCAAATTTGCAATAATTGTATTATATAGTGTACTATCAAAAAAATTTAAAAAATAATTATTAATAAGAAAAACAAAATAAAGATTTGAATTTGAATTGCAAATTTGAATTGTGTTTTTGAGAGATAAAATATATCAAATGAAATGTCATTGCGTAGATCTTGAAAAGTTATGTGGAATCAAAAAAAGAATTACCTCATTCGGATACCCGAGTCAAAAGTTATGGCTTTTCAAAGTTTTACAGTTCGTAAGTTGACTTTTTTTGTCACGTGCCAACACCAGATGATTCACGCCTAAATTAGGATTATATTATTTTTGCTACCATCAATAAAATTTACTTATTGAGTAATCTATCTCATTGCCGGAAAAAAAAGACTAAATAAATCTGTTCATATATAAGATGAGGATTTTCTTGATTTGTTTCTCAATCCAAATCAGATTGGTCGTTAGACACTCAATCAGTTCTCCAAAACTTTCGATATTATTGAAATCCAGCTTTAATTAGAATTCAATGAAGAGGGGTAATAATATACAGTCAAAGTTTGGGTGAAAATAGGATTGCCTTAATTACCTAACAGCTGGTAAGTTGGGTTTTGATTCCCTCAAAAGATTAGGAATCTGGGATTTCGATTTCTATATCTCTTTCCTTTTATATATAGGGCCATTAATTACAAAAATAAAATATATCAGCCTTCTTTTAAAAACAACAACTTCTTGTTAACAAAAATAGGATTTAACAAACTTCCATATATAAACACATCAAATTAACCCTTTTCTCTACACATAGTTCCGAATTCAAAGGTTTTTTTTCTTTTTTCTTTTTTTGAAATCTCCAACTCCATACTGTCCAACTATGAATCTTTCAAGATTACCGATGAGGAGGGCATGCAACAAGAGACGACACAGATCGTCCATAGCTTCACTTCCCAAAGACTTGTTAGTAGAGGTGGTTGCGAGCGTGGCTTCTCATTCTTTCATCGATCTTCACAACATGAAATTGTGTTGCAGAGGTTTTCTTGATGCTGCAGAAGATAAATATGTTTGTAAACATGTTTCTTTGGATAAGTTTCCACTAATTCAGTGGAATCCTAAAGAAAAAGAATTGTCATTCTTGAAGCGCTGCAGGGAAAGTGAAAATATGGAGAGCTTGTATAGAGAAGGGTTACGAGAATACTTTAGTTGTTCGAATGGAGATGGTCTTGGAAGCTTGAAGAATGCTGCTCAAAAGGGTCACAAGGAAGCAAAGTATGTGTATGGTATGATCTTATTATGTTCCAAAGATGATGAGTTGAGAAAAGAAGGAATCGAGCACATGCGTTTTCTAAGAAAGTCCAAATGCATTATAAGATGCAGGAAGAATGTGAAACGATTAATAAAAACTATGTGGAAAAATAATAGAATGTCAGCGCGCAATCGCAACCCTCTATGCCAATGGAAGAGCACATGCAAGGGTTGGGCTGTGAAGAAAGGTCGATGGCAATTACTAGATGATGAAGATGATGATATTGAGTTATGTGAATATTGTAGATGGGATCTTGAGTTGCGGTTCTTCTATGATTTGTTCAATATTCATTAGTTCTAGTTAATTTCTTTAAATTTGAGGGTGGATATATGATTTTTTTTTCAGTCAACGAAATAATGGTTTAAATGGGAACATGATATCTTATGTTGTTTAGCATCCTTAAGATAGAGCTTTCTCTTTTTGTGTATGAAATTGATGGTTATCCGTACAATTTTCTTTTCTGTACAGTATTTGCACTCATGTTATTATTAGGATATTGTCCAGGTTAATCTCTAATTTCTGAAACTAATTTTTAAATTAATGTTGATATTGACGGTTTATAAGTAGATGTAAAAGTTTTCACTAGGCTTTCACCGAGAGAAAAAAATTGTTTTCACTAGGCGGGGTTTAAGATAGATGTTTTTAGCACATGCTTGGTCGCTGTTGTGCTTCGTTAGCAAAGTCACGTAGCTACTAACTCTCCACTGGATCAAAACATAATGCTCACCATGAAATCCATTATGTTCATGTTTTCTTCCAAGTATTTAGGAGCGATGATATGAGAATATATTTTCTTTTCATATATAAATAGATATTGTTATATTTTAACACATGCATGTTTATTGGAATAAATTTGTGATGTTATTAATCAGTAAATATCTTATTTGAAATTTTTTTTATCGAATTGTTGTAAATTGTTATATTTAAAAAAATTTAGTAAGATTTTATAAAGATATCAACAACTCAATGGTAATAGTTTATTTTTGTTATTCTCAATTTTCTTTTAAGATTTTCCAGACTGCAACTTAAAGCAGGACTATTTTTTGGAGGCAAATAACTAATTTGGTTAGGGTTTCTATATACGCGTGGCAGCAATAAGGTGGCTCTTTTGATCAAACGAGGGTCTTTAATCTTTTAGGGCCTGTTTGGAGCACCTGATAAAGAAGATAAAATATGATAACTTATCATATCTTACTTTTATCTCTTGTTTGATGGATCAGTAGGATATGATTAGCTTATCCTATTGTCTCATTTTAGCCTATCTAATACATGATTTCTTACTCATATAGCTTCTAATGCTGCGAATTGTGCCAATTCTAATTTTAATTTACCAGCTACTTGTTTCATATCCTACTCAATTCCTTATCATATCTTACCCCTATCTTATCTTGATCAGCAAACGAGCTCTTAATCTACCAATTTGGTATCAGGTTGATATATATTACAATTGGGGGTCTTCAAGTCTTGTGGGGTCCGATCGGGTCTAAATCTCGCCCAAACTACTTGCGGAACAATGAAACTTTTATTTTTTATTTTTTTCAGGTCACCTAGTCCAACACTACCTCCTTGCGGTACTAGTTAAATTTTGAACCCCCGCCCCCCTTCCACAACCTTACGGTACTTTTTTTTTTTTTTTTTTTGCAAGTGCCGTTCCCTTGGAGAATTTGTGTTGGGTTGAATACGAGGTCTGTTCGCATGCATAAGAAAACAGTGTGGTTAGAAGACTACACCACTTGATAGTGACTGGGAAATATTGTATAGTTGGTTTAACAGTGAATGCCATGTAGGATTGAGTTGTCAGTAGTTGTTCACGTGAGAGGTTATGGTAGACACTAATTAAAATAAATCCTATTTATAAAAAAAATTAATCCTAAATATTAATCAAAAATCAATTATTCTAAATTGCTTATTAAACAAGTATATATTACTCATCAATGACTAATTATTATATCAAATATCTAAATATAATTATTTACATAAAAACAATAACGTAAAAAATTATTGCATCTAATAACTAGTTAAAACAATAACTAAGAAATAATAACTATATAATTAAAATAAATAAATTTAAAAAGGACCAAGTTTAGAAATGCAATGTAAAACTGAGAAATGGTTAACTTACTTTAGTGTTTTTATTAGGTGCTAGTAGTGTTGGCAAAACGGGTCAACTCGGCTCGACCCGGAAAAAACAAGCGGGGTTAAGGTTGGCTCAAAAAAAAAATGAGACAGAAAATTCAATCCAGCCCGAGCCAGGTTAGGTTGGCTCACAAAAAACTCGCGGGTTAGTTCAAAATATTGCCAGTGGGTTGAATCTAAGAACTTGAATCTGAGAACTGTCCAAACTCCAAAGCAAAAAAATTGCATTAAGACAAAGCCAACCAGTGTGTGAATCATTAAGTGCATTTTATTGAAAGAAGGCACATGCAACCTGCCAACAGACCGCCATTCCAGACGTAGAGGCAACGTAAGCAAATTGTAATGTTTTAGGGAAGAAAAACCAGGTATCTAGAATTCTAGATCCATATGCTGAAGCAACATATGATTACGGGAAAAAATAAAAATTGCATTGGTATTCCCAAACACCAACCATAAAACAGTAAGCATCATACTTCTGCAGAAAGAAAACCAAAATATAAAGAAAAGAAAGAATGGGTAGGAAACTGGGTAGCAGTGAAGACGAGCGAAGAAAAAAAAGAGAATCCGAGAAATTGTTGAAGAGAGAAGACGATGAAAGAAAGTGAGAATAGGGTAGTTTGTGATATTATTATTTTTAATTAAAAAAACCCCAACCCGCAAGCTGGCTCGTTTTTGTCCGGGTTGACTCGGGTCGGGTTGACTCAGGTTGGTAGCTCATTTATGCCAATCCATCCCGGCTATTTTTTGGCGGGTTACAAGCAAACCCGACGGGTTGGCTCGTTTTTGACAACCCTAGATGCTACTCTTGGTGTAATCAATCAAAAAGGTGAATGAAAATAGAGAGGTTTCGAATAATTTTGAAAAAGTGAAACGTGAATGCAAATATATAAAGGGAAAAATGTTTATTCTTTTAAATGACACAACTTAAATCCTTTCACTCTCACAAAGAGGTGGGACCCACACCTTTGTTTTTTTTGTCAACTCTCTTTCTCCTACTTTATTTATCTCTTTATCTCTCTTAAAATGACACAGTTTTATATCCTTTAAAATGACACACACTTTTCTCATAAATAAATGGGGTATGGGTTTAAAAATTTTGGTACATATAGAAGACTTGGACGGCTGGGATTGTGCCACTTGGCACACCATCCGAAGTTCCCTACAATGCGGGAATTGAAATTTACAAAAGATAAATAAATTCAGTTCCAAGGGGGAAGGGGGCGAAACCAGCACCAGAAAAAAAAAATAGTGTTCCGTATGGGAAGGGGGCGGGACTCAAACCCACTGGGCGACCCCAATTGATAAATATCAAATATCACGTAGGGAATTAAAGTGGTAAAAAATTCTCATTTGGTGAAAGAACCGCAGTAAGTAGGGGTGTAAATGGGCTAGATCGGTCTACATGGGCCTACGACCTAGCTTATATTAGGCCAAATTTGACCTATTACAAATAGTAAAATAGAACAAGCCTAGACTTTAAAAAAAACCTATTTAGAAAATAGGCCATAGACATTTTTGTACATGTCGGGCTTATAAGTCTACAGGTTGGCCTATATCATATTATTATTTTTAAATAAAATTATTATTTTAATAATTTTGAATAATAAAGTAATATTTTTTTAGTTATTCTTTTAATTGTTGGATGTTTAATAGGCTTAAGCAGATTAACATGCCTAGGTCAACCCTTTTATTTTTTAAATATAGGTCAGACCAGACTTGTAATTTGGGGCTTATATAGGCTAACTGTTCCAGCCAGGCCCAATATTTTTTTACTCAGGTCTGATCTATTTAAGTCAAAGCTTAACCTATTCTAGCCTATTTATACCACTAGCAGTAAAGTACCACTAAATTTGCTTTTTTATTTTATTTTAATTCACATAATTATTTATACTTAAAAGTGGCAAATTGAGTTTCCTTAGGCTTTGTTTAGGAGTTTTAAGGGGAGGGGAGGAAATTAGAGGGTATTCTCTTCCCTTGTTTGGGAGTTAAAAAAATAGTAAGGGGAAAATTGGAAGTTCAATAAGAAATTTTTACAATTTTACCCTTTTTTTAAAATACATATAATTATTATATTTCATAAATAAAATAAAATTTAAAATTGCTAAACAAAATTATTTATGTATTTTTCAGACTACTAAAAAAGATCATATTTTCAACAAAAATCCTATGTTGAAAACGACAAAAATTCTGTTAAAAAAATATTTTTTCGTCGGAATACTTTTCATTGAAGAAGATGGAATTTTTATCCGATGAAATATTTTACAAAAATAAAATTTTAGTCAAAATTTTCCACGAAATTTAGTTTTCGTCAAAAGTTTTGACAAAAATGATTTGTTACATATTTTCGACAAAAAAAATTCCATCAAAAGTTTTGATGGAAAAAAGAATTCCTTCAAAAATTTTGAAGAAAAATTTTCCGTCAAAAATCTTCGATGAAAATGTGTCTCAATGAAAATTTCAACGGAAATATTTTTTCAAAAATTTTGAGGGAAATGTTTCTGTGAAACTTTAGATAGATTTTGACAGAATATTTTTTATTCGAAATTTTTTACAGAAATGTTTTTGGTCGAATTTTTTTACGGAAATAATTTCCGATGAAATTTTTGGACGAAAATGTGTTCCATTGAATGTTTCGATAGAAATGTTTTATATCAAAATTTTTTTTTGAAATTTTGATAAAAATGTGTTTCGTCAAAAATTTTGACGAAATTTTTTTTGTCAAAAAGTATGATGAAAATATTTTCGTCGAAAACTTTTGACGGAATTTGGATTCTGTTAAGAAGTTTGACGAATTTTTTTTCGTCAAAATTTTTACAGAAATATTTTCCGTCAAAACTTTTTACGAAAATTTTTTCAAAGGAAATATGTTTTGTTAAAATTTTTGACAGAATATTTTTTCTGTCAAAATTTTTACAGAAATATTTTCTGTCAAACATTTTTGACAGAAATGTGTTCCGTTGAAAATTTTGAAGGAAATTTTTTTTATCGAATAACTTGACGGAAATATTTTTCGTCGAAAATTTTCGATTCAAATGTGTTTCGTTAAAAATTGTGACAGGAATTTTTTTCTCAAAGAGTTTAACAAAAATATTTCCGTCCAAAACTTTCGACGGAATTTAAATTCTGTAAAGAATTTTGATGAAATTTTTTTCTATCAAAAAATTTCGATAGAAATGTGTTCCATTGAAAATTTTGATGGTCGATGAATATGTGTTTTTGTGAAAAATGTTGTGGGAAATGTTTTAACGAAATTTAGATTCGGTAAAGAATTCTGACAAAAAAAAATTTGTGTCAAATTGTTTTTCAAAAATGTTTTTAGTCTCAAATTTTGATGGAAATGTTTATTGTAAAATATCTTGACGTAATTGTTTTACGTCGAAACTTTTCGATGGAAATGTGTTTCTTCAAAATTTTGGACGAAAATATTTTCGTGGAAAGATTTGACGGAATTTAGATTTTATTTATAATTTTGGTTGAATTTTTTTTCGTAAAAATTTTATGTCAGTAATTATGGGAAAATTTGTTCCGTCTCTAATTTTGTCTTTAGATTTGAGGGAAGTTTTTTGACGTATATGATTTTCATCAAAATTTTCATCACTATTTTTGACGAAATATTTTTCGTCGATAAATTCTGTCTGTATTTAAGATTTTTCTAATAATGTCATATTTAAAAATGATTCACATTATGTAGTTTTTACATTTTAATGCTAAGGGTAGATAAGTAATTTTTTTAAAAAATTCCCCTCAAACTCCCGAAATTGGGGGAACTTAAATTTTAAGAAGAATGAGGATTTTGGAGGGTTTAGCAAAAACCTCCAACTCCTTTCCCTCATTTTTTTTTTAACTCACAAATAAGGGAAGAGCTTTCTAAAACCCTCCCTTCCCCTCCAAAAACCATCTCCCAGCCTTGTTTATGTTTACATGAAGGAGAGGGAACGATTCACATAATTATATATCACCTAAGAATTTTATAGATAGTTTTTTTAATTAAATTATTAAACTATAAATATTCAGTACTTTTAAGTATTTATGTCAAATATTGTAAGAGTTTCGTGAATAAAAATAATTATATAACAAATTATACTAAATTTATATATTTTTAAAATATATATTACATTATTCTTGACATGTATTAATGAAGTATTAATATGATGTATGTAATAGAAATTTCAAATCTAACGGTAATTTATTTATAAGATATAATTATGCAATGACAAGATTTAATTATGTAAGAGTCATTTAGATTTAGATCACTATAAATCTATCCTAGATATAGATCATTGTAAAATTTCTATATATTAACACATCAAACCCTTTCCTCTACACAGTTCTGAATCCTGAGTTTTTTTTTTTTTGAAATCTCCAACTCCATACTGTCCAACTATGAATCTTTCAAGATTACCAATGAAGAGGGCATGCAACAAGAGACGACACAGATCGTCCATAGCATCACTTCCCAAAGACTTGTTAGTAGAGGTGGTTGCGAGCGTGGCTTCTCATTCTTTCATCGATCTTCACAACATGAAATTGTGTTGCAGAGGTTTTCTTGATGCTGCAGAAGATAAATATGTTTGTAAACATGTTTCTTTGGATAAGTTTCCACTAATTCAGTGGAATCCTAAAGAAAAAGAATTGTCATTCTTGAAGCGCTGCAGGGAAAGTGAAAATATGGAGAGCTTGTATAGAGAAGGGTTACGAGAATACTTTAGTTGTTCGAATGGAGATGGTCTTGGAAGCTTGAAGAATGCTGCTCAAAAGGGTCACAAGGAAGCAAAGTATGTGTATGGTATGATCTTATTATGTTCCAAAGATGATGAGTTGAGAAAAGAAGGAATCGAGCACATGCGTTTTCTAAGAAAGTCCAAATGCATTATAAGATGCAGGAAGAATGTGAAACGATTAATAAAAACTATGTGGAAAAATAATAGAATGTCAGCGCGCAATCGCAACCCTCTATGCCAATGGAAGAGCACATGCAAGGGTTGGGCTGTGAAGAAAGGTCGATGGCAATTACTAGATGATGAAGATGATGATATTGAGTTATGTGAATATTGTAGATGGGATCTTGAGTTGCGGTTCTTCTATGATTTGTTCAATATTCATTAGTTCTAGTTAATTTCTTTAAATTTGAGGGTGGATATATGATTTTTTTTTCAGTCAACGAAATAATGGTTTAAATGGGAACATGATATCTTATGTTGTTTAGCATCCTTAAGATAGAGCTTTCTCTTTTTGTGTATGAAATTGATGGTTATCCGTACAATTTTCTTTTCTGTACAGTATTTGCACTCATGTTATTATTAGGATATTGTCCAGGTTAATCTCTAATTTCTGAAACTAATTTTTAAATTAATGTTGATATTGACGGTTTATAAGTAGATGTAAAAGTTTTCACTAGGCTTTCACCGAGAGAAAAAAAATTCACTAGGCAGGGTTTAAGATAGATGTTTTTAGCATATGCTTGGTCGCTGTTGTGCTTCGTTGGCAAAGTCACGTAGCTGCTAATTCTCCATTGGATCAAAACATAATGCTTACCTTGAAAACCACCATGTCCATGTTTTCTCATGCTTGGTCCATCAGAATATATATATATATATATTTCATATATAAATAGATATTGTTATATTTTAACACATGCATGTTAATTGTAATAAATTTGTGATGTTATTAGTAAATATCTTATTTGAAAAAATTTAATCGAATTTTTGTAATAGATAAAAAAAATTAGTAAGATTTTATAAAGATATCAACAACTCAATAGTACTAGTTTCCTGTTTTGAAAATTTTGTTATTCTTTATTTTATTTTTTTTAAATAAAGCATAGGAGAAAAATAAATCTCATAAATAAATAATAATAAGAAACATTAAAGAAATCATATTAAATTTGGATTTAATGATATTGTTTTAAATGATCATGCAGATTTTAAAAATTATGCAATTTCGGGAGTGAACAATTTTGATTTAAATATCAAACTAAATCTTTATTTCCTTTTTTATATTAAAAATTATAAATTTTTATTTATTTTTGTATCGTATAGTATATAATACAGTATCATATCATCCGATACAACCCATTTTTCAATACACCCCTCGATACGTATCACTGAGCTTGTGAATATCGTATATAACTATGGTCAGAATTGTTCAAGTGTAGTGGTAATAAATTGTGTTATAACACCATATATCATTCACAACGTAATGGTTGACAAAAGTTGTGAATAAGTGTTTGGGAAACTATCATACATGTTTTTGCAGCCCAAAACCCAAAACTTGGTCCTCTCGTTGGGAACTCGTTTCCCTCAAGGTCGGCGCCGAAGCATATCGAGAGTTAAACGTCAAGCTCGAAGCTTGGCAGTCAAAAGCAGAAGTTGGCCTAAATCACTAGGTCAGCCAATGCGCAGCAGAAACAAAAAAATGCACAGGAGAGAGACAGAGAAGAACAATGTCGATATTTAACGTGAGAAAACTTTCTCCAATAAGAAGAAGTAAAAACTCACGAAATACTAGTTCATAATCAAACTTCCACTATAAATAATAGGTACAAGATATCAACCTTCACTAATAATGGTGGTACACTCAAAACTCACCTACAATAGTGGTATTCAAACTTCCCTAGAGAGGTCTCACTAAAACTTCCTATAGAAGTGCTCTCTAATACAAAACTCTAAGCTTTTCTCAAAATCATTAAAAAGTCCAACCTCCTCACCTTCATACACCACAAGTATATATATAGGGAAAGAGGGAAAATTCTAGAATATAGTGAAAACTAGGATTTTTCACAAAAGTAACATTGGGCCTTGTGCAACATTGAGGAGGAAAAGCACAACACCTCTTGATTGCATTGGGCTGAGTTTTGTACAATACATCATACAAAAGTTCCACTAGTACTACCCTTTTTAAGGCTTTGCATAGGTGTAGGATATGTGATCTTACCTTTGATTTACGGATGAAATAGGTAGTTACAAAATCATAACCGTTAATTTACTTTTGTATGATTGTGATCTTTCCACATGACCATGTCATTTTTTTTTTCCATTTTCGTGATCCACCTGTTTTTATTTTGCTTTGGTTTTTTGTTGCGAACTTCGGCAAGTGCACTGGTCGTACAAGTAATAAAGTGATAAGATAAGTTGTCGATCCCACGAGGACTGATGACCAAGCAATAATATATCTATTTAACTAAAGTTGGATTGATCGTGAAAGGATTTCTTGAGAATATTTTAATTAAATTAAAACAGAATTTTTAAACTTATTTTTAGTTTTCAATAATTTAGAAAATAAATTCAGAATTAATAAAGCTAGAAATTGGTTTTAAGTTTTTAATAAAAAGACGTAGCTAGGACTCGACTTTGCCAATGGTTTCCTAACAAATCTACCTATTCTTATGATTATATTCAAGATCAAGTTATTAACAGTTCTTTCTATATTTGATCAAATCACAATCCCTTGGTAATCTAATCCCTTATTTCACTCCAAAGCCTAATCCCTTAGTACTTTTTCATAAGAGAAGCATTAACAAAGAACCTACGATTATAGAATTCATAAGTCTATCACTAGATCATACAAATTCCAGCAATCAATCAATCGGAATCGGTACACCAACATCCCTATTGTCATGCACGACTCTAATACTCATTCAAGATTGCCCAGATCATAAACAAGACTAGGAATTTTAAACTGATTAATTGCATAACTTAAATCAAGAATATAAATCATAAGAGAAGCAAATATCATTTAAGAACTCATTGATTCTGTCTTGCCCTAACTACTTAAAGAAAATTAGCCTGACATAGTCAGGAAACAGGAACAATAGATGAAAAGAAACTAAAATTCATAACAATGGAAATAAAACCCGGTCTCCACGGTGAAGCTTTGACCGTTCCTCCGCTCCTCTGCTTTCTGTATGCGTTCCTCTGCCGCTTTTTCTTCGCGTCTCCAGAATTGAATTCTCGGCTTAACCCGCGTTGTATTTAAAGAGTAAAATTTGGGCCTATGATTCTAGACCAGCTCGCTGAAGTGAGCTGCTCAGCGAGCAATTTTCTCCTCCTCGCTGTTGTGCTCGCTGGAGCGAGCAACAAAGCGAGCTCACTTATACTTCTCGCTCACTTTCACGCTGAAGCGAGCAGTGGAGCGAGCTTGACCGAATATTTTTATATTTATTTAATTTTGTACTTTTCCTTGATATTCAGCCGATGCCAACTGCCTTCTTATCCTTATCCTGTTAGTAATTTGTTATTCCTAGTATGAAACAACCTGAAACAATAAAAAGGATTAGGATCTTATCTATTTGTTGGCAATTTACTATCTTTTAATATTTTATTAATTAACACTATATTTTTAATTATTTTAATTATTATTTGAACTATTTTTAATAATAAAAACATAGTGTCTTGGACACTTGTCATTTTTCTGCTTCCCTAATTGATGAGGTGACACAACTGCCCCAAGAAAGAGACTCCATTTTACGTGACTTGCAACATCACTTGACAGTGGTCCGGAATTGAATGAAAGCTCAACCCGATTTGCATAGGCATGATGTATTAGTAAATTTCAGAATCTAAGAAATAGAAGGATTAGAAGTGAGATAATGAAGAAAGGTAGAGAGAAGCAGAAAATAGAGAGAAAATGATTCAATTTCTGCTTAACATATTCCTTCTCCCTAGCCACTATGTATGCCCTAAACATATTGGGACTATTAATCCATTACAAACTGTACTGAATAATAAAAGCATTTGTTCTACTATAGCTATTTACTAGTCTCATAGTCCTGTAGATACTTGGGCTGCTTACGGGCCATTTTCCCTCTTAACTCCGATGTCTCTATTGGGCTAATTGTAGCACTTGGTTTTGTTACATCCCCTTCCACTTCAAAAGGATCCTCGTCCTCAAGGATAAGATTTTGTGGCGGTCTAATCAGATGCAAGGATTGGAGGAGCGGTCCAATGAGATTAGAGGGAGTGGATTCCAGCTGGTGGGGTGCGTATTGGGACGCGCATAGAGGTTTGGGGTAGCAAATCCTTTATAACAGCAGTATCCCAATACGTGTTAGGTGGCACAATGAATGAAGTCCCTTAAACTGAAGCATTTTGAAAGTTTTCTTTTTCATTCCTTTTTTCCTGTTGATATACCTCTATTTTCTATCTTCCAAGAGGAGAAGTTGAGGTTGGAATCACTGGTAAGCCCCTTGTCTCTGATGAGTCCTTCTTTCTGCCCAGAGAGTTAGTTGTTCGTCTCCTTATTTTTTGGGAGCTGTGTACTGATTTCTTGGGTTGCTTGCATGTCACAACCCTCTCCTTCTGTAAAAGTTAAATCTTCATCCTCCCAAGTATTATCCTTTGGTGGCAACCCACTCCATTGAACTAGAACTTAGATGACTCGTGTTCCCTTCCGCCAGATGTCACGTTTTCCCATGATGGCTGCAGGGGTATGTGCCATTGGGTTATCGTGAGGTGCTCTGGCAGATCATGGATCTGGTAATTACGATCTGATTTGAATGGATGCAAGAGCGAGACGTGGAAAACTGGATGGATGCGAGCCAAAGGTGGCAACTTTAAACTATATGCTATTAGACCAATGCGTTCCATGATTTCAAACGGTCCAAAGAATCACAAGGCAAGTTTTTGAGAAGATATGCGATGCAACAGAAGCTGACGGTAAGGCTGTAGTCTGAGTAGAACGTGCTCCCCGACTGTAAAGCTCTTGTCTTTTCTTTTCTTATCAGCTTGATTCTTCATCTGAGAGAGCATCATCTACGATATTGTTGGTTGAAGAACCCAGGGTGTATGATAAGAGGTTTAGGGGTGGTCTGCCGAAGGTGATATGATATGGAGTCAAACCTGTGGAACTATTGAATGAGGTGTTTTGGTGATACTCTGCCCAAGTTAGATACCAAGACCAAGTGGAATGGTGATGACAGGTAAAAGCTCTCAGAAATTGTTCCATGCACCTATTATCCTTGTTGTGCCTTGCTGGCCATCAGACTAAGGGTTATAGGTCGAACTATAACGAAGTGTTCTGCCTTGCTGGTGGAAGAGGGTTGTCAAAAAGTTACTCAGAAACAGAGGGTCACGATCAGATATGATGGACCAAGGGCCGTGCAATTTTCC